TAGTATAGACAAAGAAAATAGGAACAAATAATCCTCAAAATAACATTAATTCATTTTCTAAAATTTAATTAGGAGGTGGTGGGCTCCATTTTACTCAAGAGACATACCTCTTATCTTTGGTCATGTAGAGACAAGAAAGATAGTGACAATGCATAAATGAATGACAAGATTAGAGGTTAAATTGACAACTGAGGAAAAGAGAATACTGCATGAAACTCACAGCTCATGCCAGATGACAGGAAGCGGGGCATCCTATATTTTATAAACCATTGCCAGGGCGTAGGACCATATAACCTGTAGTCCTCAGAACCATTGCACTTCTATCTCTTTTTATTTCTAGAGATGGGGTCTTGCCATGTTGCCCAGTCTGGTCTCAAACTTCTGAGCTCAAGTTTGAGCTGTTGGCCTCCCAAAGGGCTGGAATTACAGGTATGAGCTACTGTGCCTGACCTTTTCCACCTTTATCTCATAGCTTATCCTAGTGACAACGTAAGTGCAAAAAAATATATATCCTGGTTCCTGATTTTTTGTTATTTTATTTTTATTTATTTATTTATTTATTTATTTTTGAGATGATGGAGTTTTGCTCTTGTTGCCCAGGCTGGAGTGGAATGGCACAAACTCAGCTCACCGCAACCTCTTCCTCCTGGATTCAAGCAATTCTCCTGCCTCAGCCTCCCGAGTAGCTGGGATTACAGGCATGTAGCACCACGCCCAGGTAATTTTGTATTTTTAGTAGAGACGGGGTTTCTCCATGTTGGTCAGGCTGGTCTCGAACTCCTGACCTCAGGTGATCTGCCCACCTCAGCCTTTCAAAGTGCTGGGATTACAGGTGTGAGACATCACACAGTTCCTGAATTTTAATGAACATTGGTGATACTTCCATGAACAAAAGACTAAGACTCATGCAATAGGGTACAGTTTCGCAAAACAAAGAAATGAAGTAGCAAATATCCACGGAATGCTCTCCTAGGCCCTGGGTCTCAGGGCCTCCTTGCTGTGCCACTCCCATGCTTTAGAAGCTGTTAAAAAAAAAAAAAAAAAAAAAAAAAAGCAGCACAAAAACATTAAACATTTACCTATAAATGAACACAGAGATTTTTCAGAAAAATTATTAATACACCATAAACATCAATATATTCTAATTAATAAATAAATTCATTGTTTTTCCCTATATGAGGGTTAGTATTTTATTTAGGTAGCTATTTGTAGGTTTATAGAAATCTATTCTTATGGCTATCAATAGAGAACCATGTTAGAAAACAAACCTCTCAGCCAGGCAAGGCGGCTCACACCTGTAATCCCAGCACTTTAGGAGGCTGAGGTGGGTAGATCACCTGAGGTCAGGAGTTCAAGACCAGCCTGGCCAACATGGTGAAACACCATCTCTACTAAAAATACACAAATTAGCCAGGCATGCTAGTGCATACCTGTAATCCCAGCTACTCTGGAGGCTGAGGCAGGAGAATTGTTTGAACCCGGGAGGTGGAGGTTGCAGTGAGCCAGGATTGCACCACTGCATTCCAGCCTGGGCAACAGAATGAGACTCTGTTTCAAAAAAAAAAAAAAAAGAAAAGAAAACAAACCTCTCAGAATAATCATTTGCAGTGAAGTTCAACTTTGCACTTTTTCTTTTTTTTTTTAGATGGAGTTTCGTTTTGTTGCGCAGGCTGGAGTGCAGTGGCACAATCTCAACTCACTGCAACCTCTGCCTCCCAGGTTCAAGTGATTCTCCTGCCTCGGCCTCCTGAGTAGCTGAGATAACAGGCGTGTGCCACCACAACCAGATAGTTTTTGTCTTTTTAGTAGAGATGGGGTTTCAACATGTTGGTCAGGGTGGTCTCGAACTCCTGACCTCAGGTGATCCACCTGCCTCAGCCTCCCAAAGCTCTGGGATTACAGGCGTGAGCCACCACGCCTGGCCAACTTCGCACTTCTTAAAATGATGGCTGGTGCACAGTTCCTTGGGGGTCCAATTTAGCATCCTTTTTTTTTTTTTTTTTGAGATGGAGTCTTGCTCTGTGTCTCAGGCTAGAGTGCAGTGGTGCGATCTTGGCTCACAGCATCCTCTGCCTCCCAGGTTCAAGAGATTCTCCTGCCTCAGCCTCCCATGTAGCTGGGACTACAGACGACTGCCACCATGCCTGGCTAATTGTGTATTTTTAGTAGAGATGGGTTTTTGCAATGTTGGCCAGGCTGCTCTCGAACTCCTGACCTCAGGTGATCCCCCAGCCTTGGCCTCCCAGAGTGCTGAGATTACAGGCGTGAGGCACCATGCCCAGCCAATTTAGCATTTTTAGTAGAGAAATGTGCTTCAATACACTTCTGTAATTCAAAATCCATAACATATTTCTTTTACTCTTCCAGACATTATGGAAAGATACTGAATTTTATAAACAATGCCAGCACTGTCCTAGAAAACAATGGGCCAGTATTGCTCAAGATACTCAGTGACTCAAGATTAAAGCACAGCATATTGGCATTAGAAGAACATTTAGACATCAGGAGGTAGTATTTGTTGCATTTTGCCCACCATCATCTGTTCCTTGTTCTCTTCATAGCAACACCTTAATTTTCCTTTGGAGAAACATCCTCTTACCTATTCTGAGCTCCTGTGTTTCAAGTGGAACACTTCACCCCCATCCTAGGTCCAGGAGTGGACATATCACTCAGGAACGAAAAACCAACATATCCCATTTCCCTGGATCTAGTGATTATTCCAAAGATATGCACATGTTCCACCCAGGCCAATGAGGAGCAACTGCAGAATATTTTACTAGAACCACTGAGAAAAAGACGTTGTCTTTGCACTGAAGTTATTAAATAATAATAATATAATTTAAAGCTGTGAAAGGCCAGCACATGAAAGACTATTTAACATGATAAGGATTGGGCAGATTATCAATGACTTCATTTTGGTCCTGAATCCAAATGCATCCGAAAATGGTGCTATTACAGACTAAATTGTGCCTCCTCAAAATTCGTATGTTGAAGCACTAACCCCCCGTGTGAGCGCACTTGGAGATAGAGCCTTTAAAGAGGTGATACTGGGCGTGGTGGCTCACGCCTATAATCCCAGCACTTTGGGAGGCCAAGGAGGGTGGATCACCCAAGGTCAGGAGTTCGAGACCAGACTGGCCAACGTGGCAAAACCCCATCTCTACCAAAAAATTAAAAATTACAAAAATTAGCTGGGTGTGGTGGCACACTCCTGTAGTCCCAGCTACTCAGGAGGCTAAGGCACAGAATCGCTTGAACTCGGGAGGTGCAGGCTGCAGTGTGCCAAGATTGCAGCATTGGAAACTCCAGCCTGGGTGACAGAATGAGACTCTGTCACAAAATAATAATAATAACAATAATAGCCCCTAAAACGTGGAAATGGCTAACTGAGGTGAGGCACAAGGTAGTGAGAATTTCCCCACTTCCCAGTCAGGAATGATGATGATTTTGGTAGAAAAACACCTGGTTAGGTTGCTGCCTGTTTTATGTTAGGACTCCTCATGTATTAAACAAACAAGGCTGGATGTTTGCAGACTTGATAGAATATTCATTATGTTGAAATGTTTACTTTTTAGTAAAGTCCAACAAGAAAGAGACAAACTTTGTTTGGATCTAGCTGGTCTAAAAATACAAAATATAAAAACACAGTTTTGCCTACGGTTAATAATCCAAGATGGCCAAGAATCAGTTTTAGCTTTCTAAGATTGGAATGTCCAAATTCTATATCCAAAGATAAGATAAAGTGAATGCTAAGGAGGCCAGGATACTGATATCCACAGATCACTCCCAGTCACTTCCTGTTATTCATATCCTGGATGACAAAGGGGACAACTGTTCTCCTTACAAAGCACCAGTCAAAAGAATGTGGGCAGAAAAGAAGGGACTGTCTCACTCTGCCTCTCCACCTCAAATAGGGCCAATGATAGAGATCAACAAGCTACCAAGTAGTGGATGGCCCAAGCACCAAAGTTTGCTCTAAGAAAGAAGACAGGGCCGGACGTGGTGGCTCACGCCTGTAATCCAAGCACTTTGGAGGCCAAGGCGGGCAGATCACCTGAGGTCGGGAGTTCATGACCAGCCTGACCAACATGGTGAAACCCCGTGTTTAAAAAATAAAAAAAAGAAAAAAGAAAGAAGACAGGCCAGGTGTGGTGGCTCATGCCTGTAATCATGGCACTTTGAGAGGCCCGGGCAGATGAATCATGAGGCCAGGAGTTCAAGACCAGCCTGGCCAACATGGCAAAACCCCAACTCTACTAAAAATACAAAAAATTAGCTGGACATAGTGATGGGCACCTGTAGTTCCAGCTACTCGGGAGGCTGAGGCAGGAGAATCACTTGAACCCAGGAGGCGGGAGGGAGAGAGGGAGGGAAGGAGGGAAGGAAGGAAAGAAGGAGGGAGGAAAGGAAGGAAGGAAGAAGGAAGGAAGGAAGGAAGGAAGGAAGGAAAAAAAAACAATTCTGGTTTGGTTATAACCTTGGGGAATGTGAATGGAAAACAAAAAACTACTAACATTATAAGTAAGTTGTATTGCATTCCAGCCTGGGTAACATGAGTGAAACTCCGTCTCAAAAAAAAAAAAA